GGACTCGGCCTCAGGATGAACGGAGAAGTGGTGCCTCGATGCGCACCCGGGATCCGAACCCGGGCCACCAGCATCGCAGCGCGCGCACTTAACCACCAAGCCACAGGGCCGGCCCTGGAATCATTTTCTTAATTTCATTTTTGGAATTTTTATTACAAGTACATAGAAATACAATTAATTTTTGTATATTGATCTTGTACCCTGCAACCTTGATAAACTTGTTAATTAGTTTCAGTAGTTTTTAATGAATTCCTTAGGATTTTCTACATATGTGATCATGTTGTCTGCAAACAGAAATAGTTTTACTTCTCCCTTTTCAATGTGGATACCTTTTCTTTCATTTCTTGCCTAATTACTCTGGCTGGAACCTCAGTACTATGTTGAAAAAAGTGGTCAGAATGGGCATCCTTGTCTTGTTCCTGATCTTAAGGAGAAGTGCTCAGTCTTGCACCATTAAGTGTGATGTTAAGTGTGGGTTTTTCATAGATGCCTTTTATCAGGTTGGAGAAGTTCCCTCTATTCCTAGTTTGTTGAGTCTTTTTTTTGTCATGAAAGGTTGCTAGATTTTGTCAAATGCATTTTCTTTGTCTATTGAAATGATCATATAGTTTTTGTGCTTTATTCTTTTGATATATGGTATATTACCTTAATTTTCAGATGTTAAAATAACTATGTATTCCTGGGATAAATGTCACTTGGTCATGTGTATCATCCTTTTTATATGTTGCTGGATTTGGTTTGCTTTTATTTTGTTGAGAACTTTTACATCTATATTCATAAGAGATACTGGTCTGTATTTTCTTGTGGTGGCTTTGTCTGTTTTTTTGTATTAGGATAATACTGTCTTCATATAATGAATTGGGAAGTGTTCCCTCCTCTTTGGAAGAGTTTGTGAAGAATTGGTATTTATTCTTCTTTAAATATTTGGTGGTAAAATTTACCAATGAAGTTATTGGGTCCTGACCTTTGCTTTGGGGGAAGTTTTTAATTACTAATTCAATCTGTACTTGTTATAGGTCTATTTAGATTTTCTAGTTCTTTTTTAGTCAATTTCAGTAGTTTGTTTCTTTATAGGAATTTGTCCATTTCATCTAAGTTATCTAATTTGTTGGCATATAGTTGTTCACTGTATCACCATATAATCCCTTTCTCTGTCTGTGAGGCTGGTAGTATTGTCCTCTTTTATTCCTAATTTTTTTGAGTCTTGTGTTTCTTAGTCTAGTTACATTTTGTTGATCTTTTTAAAAAACCAGCTTTGATTTTGTTGATTTTTTAAAATATTTTTCTCTTCTCTATTCCATTAATTTATCCTCTCATCTTTACTATTTTCTTCATTCTGCTTGCTTTGCGTTTTGTTTGCCTTTCTTTTTTGAGTATTTTTAAGTGGGACTTTAGTTATTTGAGATTTTTTTTTTTTAATATTATAGGCATTTACTAATCCATTAATTTAAGTTTTTTTGCTGAGGAAGATTCACTCTAAGCTAACATCCATCGTCAGTCTTCCTCTTTTTGCTTGAGGAAGATTTGCCTTGAGCTAATGTCTGTGGCCAGTCTTCCTCTATTTTGTATGTGGGTCGCTACCACAGCATGACTGATAAATGGTGTAGGTCTACGCCTGGGATCCGAACCCACGAACCCGGGCGACTGAAGCAGAGCATTCTGAACTTAACCACTATGCCACTGGGCCAGCCCACCCATTAACTTTCTTTAATAATTTTTTTCTTTATTGAGGTGAAATTCACATAACATAAAAATTAACCATTCTAAAGAGTACAGTTCAGTGGAATTGAGTATATTCGTAATGTTGAACAATCACCACCTGTATCTAGTCAAAACATTATTGTCACCACAAAGTGAAACCCCATACTCATTATGTAATTACCTCCAATTTTCCCCTCCTTCTGGCCCCTGGAAAACACCAATCTTCTTTCTGTTTCTGTAGATTTACCAATTCTGGATACGTCATATAAATGGAATCACATAGTATGTGACTTTTTGTGTCTGACTTATTTCACTTCGCATGTTTTCATGGTTCATCCATGCTGTTATATGTATCAGAATTTCATTCCTTTTTAAGGCTGAATAATATTTCATTGTATGTATATACCACATTTTGTTTATTCATTCATCTGTTGATGGACATTTGTGTTCTTTCTATCTTTTGGTTATTGTGATAATGCTGCAATGAACATACATGTACAAGAATTTGTTTGAGTACCAATTCTTTTGGTAGGTACCCAGCAGTGCAATTGCCGAGTCATAGGGTAATTCTGTTTTTAACTTTTTGAGGAAGTGCCAAACTGTTTTCCACAGGGCTGCACCATTTTACATTCCCACCAGCAGTGTACAGGGATTTCAGTTTTTCCACATCCTCCCCAATACTTTCTTTTTTTGTTCTTTTTAAAGTATAGCTATTCTTGTGGGTGTGAAGTGGTTTCTCATTATGCTTCTGATTTGCATTTCCTTGATTGCTAATGATGTTGAGCATCTTTTCATGTGGATGTTGGCTATTTATGTATCTTCACTGCATCAGTTTTTTAATTGGGTTATTCTTTCTGTCATTGAGCTTTTAGAATACTTTATATGTTCACTAATGATGTACACCTAAAATTTATATAATGTGATAAACCAATGTTACCTCAATAACAAAAAATACTTTATATATTCAAGATACTAGACTCTCATCAGATACATGATTTGCAGATATTTTCTCCCATTCTTCAGCTTGTCTTTTCACTTTCTTGATAGTGTCCTTTGGTGCACAAAAGTTTTTAATTTTGATGAAGTTCAGTTTGTTTTTTTTCTTTTGTTGATCGTGCTTTTGGTGTCATATCTGTCATGTCAAAAGCTCATGCTTTTGGTATCATGGTTTGCCTAATCCAGGATTGTAGAAATCTATTCCTATATTTTTTTCTACGAGTATTATAGTTTTATCTCTTACATTTAGGTTTATGATCCACAGTGAGTTAAGTTTTGTATATGGTGTAAAGAATGAATACAGCTTGATTCATTTGTATGTGGATATCCAGGTGTCCCAGCACCACTTGTTTAAGGGATTATTCTTGCCCATTGAGTGGTCTTGGTGCCCTTGTTAAAAATCAGTTGGCCAGTTCTGGACTCTCATTATGTCTGTCCTTATGCCAATATCATACTGTGTTGATTACTTTAGGTTTGTAGTAAGTTTTGAAATTGGAAAGTGTGCATCTTCCAACTTGTTCTACTTTTTCAAGAATGTTTTGGCTATTCAGGGTCCCTTGCAAATCCATATGAATTTGAGGATTGGCTTTTCTATTTCTACACAAAAGCCCCTTTGAATTTGTTAGGGATTGCATTGAATTTGTAGATTGCTTTCAGTAGTATTGCCATCATAACAATATTAAGTTTTCCAATCGATGAACCTGGGATATCTTTCCATTTATTTTTGTTTGTCTGAGAAAGTCTTTATTTCTCCTTCACTTTTGAAGGAAAAAGTCACAGGATACAGAATTCTAGGTTGGTGGGTTTTCTTCTCTTACCCTTTAAATTCTTCACTACACTCTATTCTTGCTTGTATGGTTTCTGAGAAGACAGGTGTCATTCTTATCTTTGCTCCTCTATAGGCAAGGTGTTTTTTTCCTCTGGCTTCTTTCAGAATTGTTTCTTTGTATTTGATTTTCTGTAGTTTGAAAATACGCGTCTGTGTACTTTTTTGGCATTTATTCTGCTCAGTGTTCTCTGAGCTTCCTGGTTCTGTGTTTTAGTGTCTGACGTTAATTTGGGGAAATTCTCAGTCATTATTATTTCAAATATTTCTTCTGTTCCTATCTCTCTTTCTTCTCCTTCTGGTACTCCCATTATGCATATGGTACACCTTTTGTAGTTGTCCCACAGTGCTTAGTTATTCTGCCCATTTTTTAGTCTTTATTCTCTGCTTTCTGTATTTTTACGATTTTACTGATAAATTCTCTAGCTCAGAGATTAATTTCCTCAGCCTTGTCCAGTCTCCTAGTAAGCCTATCAAAGGCATCCTTGTTACAGTGTTTTTGATCTTTAGCATTTATTTTTGGTTCTTTCTTAAGATGTCCATCTTTCTGCTTACATTGTTCATCTGTTCTTGCGAGCTGTCTACTTTATCCATTGGAGCCCTTAGTATATTAATTGTAGTTGTTTTAAATTCCTGTTCATATAATTCCAGCATCCTTGCCATGTCTAGTTCTGATACTTGCTCTGTCATTTCAAATTATGTTTTTTGCCTTTTGGTATGCCTTGTTATTTTTACTTGATATCGTCAGACATGATGTACTGGGTAAAAGGAACTGCTGTAAATAGGTCTTTAGTAATTTAGTTGTAAGATGTAGGGGAAGGGGAAGAGTTCTATAGTCTTATGATTAGCTCTCAGTCTTTTAATGAGCTTATGCTTCTGAACTGTGAACTTAACAAGAGTTTCTCAGTTTTTTCCTCCCTGCTTAGGTGGGGCAGTATGGTGGGCTGGTTTGGGTATTTCCCCTCTTCCATAAGGAATGGTCAACTTGACTGGAGTTGGATATTTCCCTTCCCTAGGTCATTTTGGCTCTGATAATACCCCATCAGGTTAGGCTCTGTTTAATAGCCTCTGTTTAGTTAGTTTCTCCTTGTTAAGGCCTTGTTAAGAACAGAGTGCTCTGGCATATTTTTTAATGGTTCTTTTTCTCCTCTCTTTGCCTGAAGAGTGAGGTATTTTTCTCCAATATTTACTGTGGGAACCTGGTCAAATTCCTGGAGGTACATCTCAAAATATTGTAGAGGCTCCCCTATGACTGGGTCCCCCTAGAGATTTTAACTCGGTGAGTTGTCCACACTGAGTCTCCAGCAATTCATCAGTTACAGTTCAGGTTTTCCAACCTTGGCACTGGTGTCCATGGTGGTTTCCTTTTGTCAGTCTCTGCCCTGGTAAGCTGTGACTCCCTGTATTTACCTTTCTGTCTCTACAGTCTTGGGGGCAGCAGTTTGCCCTGTGTCCTCCCCTCTCTTACATATCCAAGAAGAGTTGTTGTTTTTCAGTTCAGTTTTTTATTTGTTATGCGTACAGAGTGGTAACTTCCAAACTCTTTTCATGGGGAACTGGAAACCCCTAACCCTTTATAGCTTTTTTATATAGAAATCAACATGTGAATAGCGTTTTTTGTGAATTAACCTATGTCAATTCAGATTGAATAGTTGTATATTTTCTTTCTGAGTGGAATAGAGTAGAAGGAAATGCAAAGTGAAATTGTTTCTAAAAATTTTTATTTTATTATTTTCAATTTGAAAAATACTTTCAAATTGTATTGATTGCTGATTTTTGTCCTATCTTTTTTCATGCAGATTTGAAACCAAAATAGATTCATTTCATGTTACTGGCTTACCAGATAATTCAACAAAACCCCGCCTCCTGTCTTCATTGGATGATGCTACATCACTCTTCCAAATTACATTTGAGATAAATCCTTTAGATGAAACTGTTGCTCAAAGGTGTATCATAGAAGCTGAACCTTTAGAAATGATATATGATGCAGTAAGCATTTTTTTAATTCCTAAATTTTAATATATTCCAGTTAGCTTTGAGTTTTGGACTCATGTTACTGATACTTATTTTAACAGAGAACAGTGAATAGTATAGTGGAATTCTTCAGACCTCCAGAAGAAGTAAATCTAGCACAGCTCACTTCAGCAACTTTGACAAAACTTGAAGAATTTCGTGATAAGACAGCAACAGGTAAATGCCAGTATTAATGTTGGTGAATTAAGTGAATATCCTCTACTAAACTTTTCAAGTGATTATTTAGTAAAGTATACTTTAACTTTGTATTTCTAGACTGGATACAGTTTAATTGCAACTAATTTGGTACTTTCATATTTAAATTCAGATATAACAATAATCATTTCTTCACTCAGAAAGGTCAAACGTATTAACCACATTCAAGTTATTAGCAAAATTTTGTTTGGATCTATGGAATTCTGTTCATGACAGAAACTGGCCTGGCATTTTCCTTTCTTGTAATGAGTTCCAGATTTTAATTATATTGGCCACAGAAAATAAAAATTCCATCCTTTTTTACTCTTTTGGAGAGTTTTTGTAATTTTGGATGTTATTTCTTCCTTTGGTGTTTGGCATAATTTAACAGTAAAACAGTTTAGGCTTGAAGATTTTTTTGTGGAAGATTTAAATTACAGATTCCTTTTTTAAAATATATAGATGACTATAGAGATGATCTGTATGATTTCAGTGCTTTGTAGTTTGTTGAGACTTACTTTCTGGCTAAATATACAGTAATTTAAAAAAATGTTCTACATGTGTTTGAAAAGCATATATTTTTTGTATCTATACATATCCTTTAGGTCACATTTGTTTATCATATACTTCAAATCTTCTCTATCCTTATTGGATTTCTTTCCTTCCTTTGTCACCATAGTCTAACAATTATTTAAAGAAATGCATGAAAAATACCTCACTGTGAATGTAGGTTTGTCTATTTTTTGTAGATCTGACATTTTTTTCTTTATATATTTTGATGCTATCATTAAGTACATGTTGAAATAAAATTTTTTTCTCCTATGAACCAAATCTTTTATCTGTATGAAGTTGACTGCCTATATTTTTAGTAATGCTTAATTTTTTTCCCTTTAGAGTTTTTTTATTTTTAATTTTTGTTCTGATATTCGTATGGATATTCTAGGTTTCTTTTGGTTAGTATTTGCCTGCTATATGTTTTTTTCAATCTTTTACTTACTTTTTTTCCTGTATCTTTATTTTTAGATGTGTCACATCAACAACATATATATAATGGGATGTTTTTCAATCTATATTTACAGTCTTTTTTTTCTTTCTTGCCTTCCTTTGGTTAAATTCTAGTATTGCTTCCCCTTCCTCACCTCACTGTACCATTTGAAAGTTAAACGTTCTTTCTCTCATTTTTACTGTAGTAGTTATAGCACACTTTTCCATCAAAATATAAATGTATTATAAAATTTTACCTTCTGTCAGTCATTACAAGGACTTTAGAACACTTGAACTCCATTTACCATCCTCCTGATTTACATGCTATTGTTATTTTTTTTGTTTCACTTGTAAGTCTTTTTTTTTTTTTTTTAACTTTATAAGACTTTTTTTTTTGTATAGTCAGTGTTAGTTTAGAATTACCTACATATTAACTACTTTCTTTGTTCTTCATTCTTATTTGCACCTCACATCTTTTATCTGGGATTGTTTCCTTTCTGTTGGAAGTTCATTTATAAATTTTTTCTTTAGTGAGAGTCTGTTGGTGGCAAACTTCTTGTTTGTTTTTTTGTTTTGTTTTGGTCTGAAAAAAGTGGTTTTTTTGGTCCTTAGTTTTGAAAGACATCTTTACTGGATATAGGATTCAGGGTTGGCAGTTATTTTCTCCTGAATATTAAAGTGACCATTCTGCTATCTTTTGGCTTCCATTATTGATGTTGAGAATTCAGGTGTCAGTGTTTGCTTCTTCTTTTTAGATTATCTGTACTTTTTCTTTTACATGTAAAATCTTCTTTTGATCTTTTGTATTCTATAGTTTCAGTATGATGTATCCAGCTATGGACCCAATCTTAGGATTGGTAGTTTTAATGAGTTCTAGAAAATCCATGTGGAAACTTTCTAACCATTGACTCTTTAGATATTTTTTTTCTCTTGTTGCTCTTCTTCTGGAACTCTGGCTAAATGTATTTTAGCCTTTCTTACTCTATCTTCCATTCTTCTTTTTTTTTTTTTTTTTTTTGTGAGGAAGGTTAGCCCTGAGCTAACATCTGATGCCAATCCTCCTCTTTTTGCTGAGGAAGATTGGCCCTGGGCTAACATCCGTGCCCATCGTTCTCTACTTTATATGGGATGCTGCCACAGCATGGCTTGAGAAGTGGTGCATCGGTGCACACCCGGGACCTGAAACCGTGAACCTTGGGCCGCCGAAGCAGAGCACGCGCACTGAACTGCCACGCCACCAGTCCAGCCCCTAGCTTCCATTCTTCTTAACTTCTACATCCTGTTTTCTTTCCATCTGTTTTTTTCTCTGTGTTACATGCTGGGTAATTTCTTCTAATTTATCTTCTGATTTACTGAGTCCCTCTTCAGCTATGTCTGATATGCTATTAAATCTTCCCATTGAGTTTAATTTCAGTGATTATATTTTTTGTTTTAGAAATTGTTTGTTATATTTAAAATTTCCTTTGTCATTTGTTATAGTTTTGTGTTTCCTGTGGATATCTTCAAACTTGTCTTTTATTTCTTCAGCTGTCACTAAGTATAGTTATTTTATATTCTTTCTCACCAGATAATTCTCTCTTCAGATAGTTCCATTATGTGAAGACTTTTGTGTTTTTCTTTTTTCTTGTCCTTTGTTTCTGCTGGTTCTTATTCATGACAACCTTTATCTTTTTGTACTTGGTGATTTTCTATCGTGAGCTGCTCATTTTTCTTGGAAAATTATTTGGGAGAATTCTCTGGAGTCTAGGATAAATGAATTTTCATTCAGGGAAGAATTTTATTTTCTTCTGCCAGGTGTCTTAGGCATGTTGGTGGGACCACTTTAAACTTATTGCTTGAGATACTTTGGAATGCCAGGAAATTTTTGGCTACATATCCACTTGAGGACTATACTGTGATTACAATTCACAGGGATGCTATCCTCCTTTTCCCAGTTTTTTTCACAGCCTTTCTTTACATTCCCTTGTGGGTGGGTTTTAGGGAGAGGAGGTTTAACTTCTGGATTCCTCTTACTTTGAGTGTGTATCTTCTGAGATCCCAGATTTGTGAGAACTCCTGCTAGACTCTTCATCTTTATCTTCTGTTCCCTATGCTCTGTGAGGCTATGAAAAGGAGTTCCCAAGTTCACCAGGTATGGAAAACCAGGATAAAATTTTTCTGGGCTCCATTTATTTATTTTTTTTTTTAAAGATTTTATTTATTTTATTTTTTGCCCCCAAAGCCCCAGTAGATAGCTGTATGTCATAGCTGCACACCCTTCCAGTTGCTGTATGTGGGACTCGGCCTCAGGATGGACAGAGAAGTGGCGCCTCGATGCGCACCGGGGATCCGAACCCGGGCCGCCAGCATCGCAGCGCGCGCACTTAACCACCAAGCCACAGGGCCGGCCCTCTGGGCTCCATTTAAATCTCTTAGCTTACTCCTTCAATTTGACTTTTGGCTTGACAAATCCTTACTCTTTTGCCTCCTCTCAGTGTTTTTTAGTAGGTTTTTTGTTGCTGTTTGTTTTGTTTTATAGCCAACATTTTTTGTTGCTTTTAGTGGAAGACTAGGTCTGGCTACCTACTCATACATATTACCAAGATTTGGAAGTCTAGCTAAATGTTTTACTTTAAGTTCAAGACTTTATCTTTGTTAAAATTCATCTTGCTAGATTGATCCATTTTTCATCTTCTGTTGTGTTTGAGTCTTCTCTTTGAGCCCTAGGATAAATGGGTATTATTTTCTGGGAACTACTATTCAATATCAACTGACAGTTGACTGTTCAGGGGTACTTAAACCTTCTTGGTGTCATGGACACTTTGACAGTTTGGCGAAGCCCAGGGATCCCTTCTCAAAATAATGGTTTTAAATACATAAAGTAAACTAGAATTACAAAGAAAATAAATTATAGTAAAACATGTTTCAAAATATTTTTTAGAAACCCAAATTTATGATGCTAGTAATGTATCTGCTTTTCTTTATTTATAAGTTAATAAGAATTAATGGCAGGTCAAAAAACTACCATAAATTTGAAGTAGTGACAAGTATAAATGATATTTCAGTATATCTTCAACAATTATGTTAAGGAATAAAAATGAAATTTTATGCAATTTCTGTAGGTAACAGTCGCAGGTGTAGGGGTTTGTTGCCTACATTTTTAATAGAAGGAAATGCTAAATATCAGCAGTAGTTAATGAAAATTAAGATGTGATTTTTTTCCCCATTCAGGTTCGTGAAACCTCTGAATTCCGTTCACGGACCCCTGGTTAATGGTGCCTGATCTAGTTCATATTTCTAAATTTTTCCTCAAGAATATTAAGGCAGGGCCGGCTCCGTGGCTTGGTGGTTAAGTGCGCGCGCTCCGATGTTGGCGGCCCGGGTTCGGATCCCGGGCGCGCACCGAGGCACCACTTCTCCGTCCATCCTGAGGCTGAGTCCCACATACAGCAGCTAGAAGGATGTGCAGCTATGACATACGACTATCTACTGGGGCTTTGGGGGAAAAAATAAATAAATAAAATCTTTAAAAAAAAAAAAAAAAGAATATTAAGGCAGACTTTAAGTACATTGCTGAAGTATTGGTATACTATGTCTGTTAATAGTTCCTCAGTTTATCAGTTATCTGTTTAGTAGAATTGAAAAAAAATCCAAAAAAGAAGAAATTTAGTTACTATAGAATGCCTCATTTTTATAAAATTCATTGGCTTGTAATCATCAATGCTTCCCTTTCTACTTTTGAATTAATTTATGTGTATAAAATTTTCTCAAAATGCACATTCACTTCACCAGTTAATAAAAGATATTAACTTGTCTTTTTTTTCTTTCTAAAGAAATCTGGACGTTTCTCCATTTCAATTTTCTAAGATCTCTGTAGTTCTCAGTGATTTCTTGGAAATATTGATTGAGTAATATCACCAGCTTAGGTATCTGGGATGTGGTGTGACTGGACTAATAAGTAAAAGTCTCACCAGTTAGAGTTTTAAGTTCTTTTACTATGTCCTGCTTCTTACAGGTTG